TTTTTATTTGCAGTGCATTCTTTTTTCTTCTGGAGGTATCAAAGACATCAACTCTGTTTCACTCTTCCAGACCTGTGGAGAACTGCCTTTAAATTCCATTTTTATAGTGACTGTATGCCCTGGGGAGAGGCCTCCTTAACTACTGGAACACCAGTGAATATCTTATAATTACGGTTAAGTTACCAGTGCTCTTACTGCTGTGGCATATTTATTGGTGATGAATGCCAAGCTGTCAGAGTTGGCTTTCATTTTCTTTTTAAGTGCTGACACTAATAGGTGTTGCCTTTGGGCAAGCGAGGGTTTTTTGTGTGTTCAGGTACTTTATGAGCTCTTATTCAAGTTATTGATGTATTGATGTGAAGTTCATAACAGATATTATGGTAGAAGTGATCGCTTTTCCTCCACCCAATTTGAGGTCTTTAACCTTGATTGCTCTGATCTTTTCTTTTCTCTTTACATGGAAGAAACCAGTAGAAAGCATGGTATTGGTCCTAATGTGGACATAAAGAACTTAATTCTACTGTTGATGGTAATTAGTGAGTCTTTGTCTCTGATGTAATATGGTAGCGTAGTGTCATGATAACTTTTGCACTCATTGCTTGCTTAATTGAGTGAATTGATTTAGCTATTGCAGTGAATTGATTCAGATATTGCGTTGAAATGCCAGCAAACTGTAGTCATCTGCCCGTATTTCAAAGTGTAAAAAATCATTGATTTACTTGCAGAAAAATGTATTTTCAACTGTTACAAGTGGCTTTATCCAGCCATACTCCTATTTGCCTGTATTCTGATACTAACACTATGTTTAGTATTCTTGCTGCAGAAATCCTTATCCATCTGGGTATCTAAACACTTTTCTTGCCTTCTTGGTGGTGGTCAGTGTGAAGCAAACCACAGAACTAGATGGAAGGTTAAGTTGGCAGCTGTAATGCAAACGCAGGTTTCCCAGCCTCTCCTTTAAAGTAATGAGAGACAGTGAAAAGATGGATTGGTAGATAACTGAAGAAGTTACTAATATGAAAACCATGAAGTTTTGATATTTGTTTGCATTTTAATTTTCTTAAGAGACACAGCATGCAGAGGATTTTACTGGATGGGACGATAAAGCATATATTACTAATTTTTGGTACCAGTTACTGAAAAGTGATTTATTTATGTATTAATCTCAAGGTGATGCTTTAAAACCAATGAAATAAGATAACAGTGTCAGAAGTAGTTTTTAAATTTTAAACTGAAATAACACTTCTTTGAAAAGTCAAACTTGACACTTGGAAATTTTAGGGCAGTTTTATGTAGTTGCCTTCTGCTGTACTAAAATGAAAAAGAGAAATGGATTAATGGGCATAAATTCCTTTACCTAGTAACCACTAAAATGCATACTGAAAAATTTCAGTAAGGATTATCTGGACAGAGTTGCCCAGATGGTGATTAGGTGTGGTTCTGTCATTATTGGAGAGGTGTATTTCCTAATCTTAGTAAATAAGTCTCAATATATTCAGACTTACAAGTCAATTTTTTTTGATTTATGTGGAACCTGGGGAGACGCATCTGGAACTGAAGGTGGAAAATTGCTTCCAAGTGGATTTTTTGGGGGAGTTACTTTTTCATTTAGGGGGACCTAATAGCTGCCTTCCAATACCTGAAGGGAACCTACAGGAAGGCTGGGGAGGGACTTTTTACAAGAGTGCCCACTGATAGGACAAGGGTCAATGGGTTTAAGTTGAAGGAGAATAGATTTAGATTAGATCTTAGGAAGAAATTCTTCAGTACGAGGGTGGCAAGACTTTGGAATAAATTGCCCAGAGATGTTGTGGCTGCCCCCTCCCTGGAGGTGTTCAAGGCCAGGTTGGACGGAGCCTTGAGTAGCCTGATCTAGTTGAGAGGCGTCCCTGCCCATGACAGGGAGGTTGGACTAGATGATCTCTAAGGTCCCTTCCAGCCTAGGCCATTCTAGGATTCTATGATTTATTTATTTTTTTTTATTTTTGAGATAATAGTATTTGCAGTATAGTTTTGGCTTAGAATTTTCTTACAAAGAAACTAAAAAAGAAAAGTGTGCATGCAGAAAAATAAGCATGTGAATAAAGTAGTTTGGTTTCATAAGCATCTTTGCATTCAGTAATTCTTCAAAATATAGTGCAAATGAAACCTTGTTCACTGTTTTTATATGAGCACTAGTTAAAGCTTCAATTTAGAATTAAGTATGTCTGTTACATGAACTTCTGATGGCTTGGATTTTTCAATAATTTTTTTTTCATAAAATTGCATAGGCAAGTATGGCTTTGCTTCTCTGGAATTATTGTTTTGACTCAGTCTTTGCAGTGACTTGAAGGAGTCCACTTCAAGGTGATGTTTCAATTTACTAATATTTTAGAAGTACGAAGATTGCATGAAGCATATAGAGTGTGATGGAATAACGTGGATATGATATGATATATGATTGGAAACTATTGCATCTACAGCATTGACTTGTTTTCTTCAAAATTAAGTATAGTTAAAATACCCCATTCTCTCTTTGCTCATCATATTCATCCATCTTACCGACATCCTTTTGCCTTACAAGCCATCTGTTAATGGGATTTCTTATTTCCATCTTGGTGCTTATTAGATAAAAAATAATAATATTGAAATTACAGTATATGTTTCAACAGTGGTATTTTTTTCTTCTAGTTTCAGTAGTAGTATTGCTTCTTTCCTTTTTAGTGCTTACTGTTGTTATTTCTCACACTGAATGAACAAACAGAATGTAGAATTTGACTTTGAGAGCTTTGTCTCAAAGAATTAATTTCATCTCTGGAATGTTCAGAGGTTTATTCTTTTCTTTCAGACATGCAGTCATTTTTTAGTATATTGATTTGGTTTTATATTACATTATATGAGGTTGTTTTTAAAGGAACTGCAGATGAAATGTTTGTAACTACATACATCTGTATTTCTTTTTCCTGTTATTTTTGGTGAGTTGTTTGGTTTTACAGTAGTCTAATTATGGTAAGGCAGTTCATGTTTTCTTCAAGTTTTTAAACTGTGTTCACTAATTCTGTGATTTACCATTGTTACCTATTTAATGTATTCTTGCCTTTAAACTTCCCTTTCCTTTTGCACAGTTAATTGTCATTAAGAATGAACTATACTAATTTTCTCTTGTATCCAGATACGCAGTTCAACAGTCCAAGCTTGAAATTCTACCAAAGCAGGTTAAACTTCATTTCAAAAAGCTGAAAATATAGATATTACTGGGATGGTTGCAGTGGTATAAAGCTATGTGGGTGGATACTGCTGTTTCAGAATATTAAGTTCTATCACATTGTTGGTTTCTACTTTTTGCCCTTCTAACTGAACATTTGCTGCTTTCCTTTTATGCTACTGAGGCTTTAATGAAGAGAGCCTTACTTGGAAACTAAGTTTCGTAGGAGGAAGACTGATATTATACATAGATCGTACTTTTAGGAACCAAATTTTAAGTGACTAGTTGTGTATCCTCCCATTAGTTAGAGCAGGAAAATCCAGGTGGAATATTAGGCCTCATTGCAATGGAAGATATATTGAGCCTTGTCACACTTGCATGTACCTTGTGAAATGCCAGCCTTTTAAGAACTCAAACACTGTGGAAATGTTATATCCACCTGAATTTCCTTTATTTATTCTGCAATTTGATGACTGTTTTCTGAAGAATAATTTTGGAGTTTATTCTAACCTCAGAAATAAATAGTTTATGTGACTTCTCTATATGTCTCTCCCTAATTAGCTTCCAGGTTGTTTGTTATTTTGCAGAGAGAGAGGGAATCTCAGAAATATTGAGTAATTAGAATATGATACTAGGCAGAGTCTCAAATTAGAGCCTTGGGTATGAGGAGAGGTTGAAGCACGAGCTCTGCTGTATTACGAATCAGAATCCACATGGAAGGGAGTCGTTACAAGTAAAAGCCACAGGGAGCCAGGCTGCTTGATTTTTGTAGTTCAGGAAATAACTTGTGTCTTTTGTTCTTGGGTTTTGATATGTACAGCACAACACTTTCATCAGCTACAATTCAGTATCAGCAGAACTAGTTTAATTGTGTACTAGCTGTTTGTTTTTTTACAGTGATTTGTGCCTTTGCTTCTTTGTGAATATAAACAACCTCAACAGAAGAAAACAGCAGACTGAAGCTTACCGGCTTTGAGGCAAACTAATAATTCCTTTAGTCGCTTGCACCCTTCCTGTATTTGCAAATGGATTGTTCTAAAAATACATTTTTCATATAGGGGAAAAAAATGCCATGAAAGGATTAAGCCAAACTTTTAGTGATGACTGCTGGGTTGGAAGTCAATCTCAGTTTCAATTCTAGACTTGCTCGCTTCCTAATGGAAAACAAATACCACTGTTGTTCCATGGTGTTTTTCTTACTAATGATTTTTCTAAGCTGTTTGTCAGTTAAAAGGGGCAGGTGGGTGGATATTCCGTTTTTAAAAGTTCTGTGAAATGACACAATTAAGAGCATGCCCTCCAAAATGTACCTGGTACAGGAAACCTGAGACATGAGCCGAGCTGTGTGGCTAGGCGTTAAAAAATTTAGAAAGAAGACATCTGCAGTAAAGGGAAAAAAAAGAGTTAAACATTGTACTATAGAAGTTTGCAACCAGTAGTTATTTTACATATAAAATATATGTACATAATATGGAGGAAATCAGTTTCTCACAGCAAACTCATTTTCAGTATATGTTTTTACAGAATGTTTTTACAAAACGAATCATTACTTAGAAGAAAAATGTCCAAGATATTTGGAAGTTTTATAAAGTCATTTGTATAATCTATTAATGGAAAATTTTCAGAATTGGAAATAGATCGTTTGGTGGAAATTGTGTCACCACCTTATGTTGGTATAAACTTGCAGATACGTAAACATTAACATAAGAATGTCATATGTGAATAACACTAGCAATTTCTCCAGTTCTAACCTTTGTACTTTTATTTTACTGTTAGACTGATTACCTTTGAATCATTTTTCTTAACAAAACCTTACAGCTTTGCTGAGAGTGCCCGAGAGCAATATGAAAAATTGTCCAACATGCACAACAACATGACTAAATTGTATGAAAATTTGGGAGAATACTTCACCTTTGATCCCAAAGCAATAAGCATAGAAGAATTCTTTGGCGACCTGAGCAACTTCAGAACTCTGTTTTTGGTGAGTAATGTCTGCAAGACTTTACATATTCCTGTATCTTCTTTTTCCCAATTTTAATTCTTTCCTCTTCTCTCCATTTATTGTATTGTACTTTGTTTTGTTCTGCGGCAGAAAATTGCATTAATATTTCCAGAATTATTTAGACTTTGGTCACTGAGAGCTATCATCTGCCCGTTTGTAACTTGCCAACTAAGCTGTCAGTGATGGTGAGATGTATGGATAATTAGAAAATTGTTTTCCTCGTCTAAAAAAAGACTTCCCTGTTGGTTGTCACACAGCAAGCAGGCATGATGCTGAAAACCATGTTCAAATCAAGACCTGAATGGATGTGTCTGTGTTCAAGTTGTGTTAGAATCTGGCTGATGCCTTAATGATGCTGTGGTGCTAAGGCTGAGACTTGCAAGATGAGCTCTTGTGTTGTTGACAGAACTCATGAAGTTCCCTTAGATGCTTACAGTACTATTTCCAGTCATCCAGAGTGGTTGATGTCAGGATATGGCTTTTTTTATGAAGGGATTTAAGAATTTCATTTTAAACAGCTAAGTTTTGTAGTGGGTTTAATGTCATCTTTCCTAGGGGCTGTCTGGGAGCCATAATTAGCTGCACTGTAAGAAGCGCCCAGGGAAAACAGATGCCTGGAATGTCACATTGTGTCTCTGGAGAATATTAACATCACTTGGAAATACCACCACTTCCCATACAGCTGTGGCTCACTGATCTATCTATTGCCAGTAGCTGGTTTAATCTGTCATGTAATCGTAAGGACTTTCAGTTTGAGTGTGATAGAGGAATAGCTGCTTTAAAACATTATCTTCATGCGGAGATTGCTTTATTAGAAAGCTTTTGCTACAGTAGATTTAACTACTTATTTTTAATTGGCTGAAATAGTTCTTTTTTCCTTTTTTTTTCCTCATAAGCAAATCACCAATTCTTGTATAATTAGTAAGCATGCTAACACATCTGTGTGAAGACTTGTCGGGAACAGGAATAGCTATTACAAGCTGCTTCTTCATTTACTTTTTCAGAAATCCAAGACTTATATTTTCATTGAATTTGGAAATCTACTCTTGTTGTACCTACTTGAAACAGACTTTAGACTAGCAACGGCCAAATACCGTGATGAAAATGCATCCTCAGGTGAAGGTGATGGGAGTTAGAGGGCATGTGTTTGCTAGAAGGCATATTAGAATGAAAATATTTCTAGCTTCTTACCTTGATTTTTCCTTCCTTTTGACTTCCAGCAGATCTGGCTGATGACTTTTTGCTCTTCAATGGCTATAATTGAATTTTCAGGAAAAATGTTTACAAGAGATTCATGTATTGCTTTGGAGTGACTTTGTAGTATCAGTGACGACAAGTGTTATTTCAAGTTTTCAGTGAGTAAATGTGAAAAATGAAATATGAAGAGCACTAACTCCTAATCATAAAGGTAGAATATTCTTATGGCCTTCCCAAATGAACTAAAGACAGAAACTACTATATGTACAGGAACAGATGCAGGCTTGGAATGAGTTTCTGTAATTCTGTAAAGTGAAGTGTTGAATTCAGGCCTGTGGATGCTCCTAAATCATACTTAAAAGGTCTTTATTTCACAGCAAAAATCTATACTTAAGATTTTTTTTTACCTATTTTTTTTATCTTCACTGAACTTCATAAAAATATTTGTGAGAATAACCTGCCTAGTTTTAGGTTTCATTGCGTTGTTGATGCCTGTACTTAGGGGGTCACTTTCATGAATTGTCTGAATCATCCTACATTTTTTTTAATTTATTTTCTTCTACAAATATTTGCTAATTTACTTCCCTTAAATGAGATCCTGTTGTGAAATACTTATTCACGTGCTTCTCAGTCTAGATTGTTCAGGTGCCATATTTAATCACAGAAGAGTTTTATTTGAATTGGAATAAAGTTTTTTTCAACATGAACTCACTTCATTTGTACTTATAAGGAAGGTCCAGATACCCAGTTCTTGATGTTTTAAGAAAAGCTGTCAAAGCTTAGGACAATTTTAACTTTATTTTTAAGCACTGAAACAGGTTTAGCAATCAGAGAGATGAAGGTATTGAGACTGCTTATGCAAATGACTGTTAATTATTATTTACAGATAATCCTCTGGTTAATGCTGTATGCACATATGTGCATCTTAGTTCTGCAAGTATTTCTCCATGGATATGGAACAGGAGTGTCGATTGTAGAAACTACCCTAGTCATTTATACTGAGAAATACTAACTGGGTTTTATTTGCCACAATCTCCTTTGTATGCTCTCTCTAAAACCAAAAACTGTGTTCTCCTGAGTGCTACACAGTGCTCAGACAGACAGCAGACTTGCCTTGATTTTGTCCTAATTCGTATTATTTAACAGGAGGGGAAGGGGCTTTTCACTATTGTGCAGGTGTTTTTCACAGGTAACTTGAATCCTTTTCTTCTGCTAGATTTGATTTTGAGTGAGTAGGTTTTGTATTTTTTTTCAGCAGATCATAACTACTCTGCTTTTTTTCAGTATAATTCATCTTTTATGTACCATTTATATACTATTTCAGTTTTAACTGACTTTTAAAGATTTTGATACAAGGAGTAGCTGTGGAGTAAGCCTTCTTTTCTGGTAGGTACTGTGTAGTTAGCGATGCACTAATAGTCACTTGACTGAGGATCGCGGTGACCTCATGTACACAGTCTGACAATCCTTAATAGGAGGTACTCATGTTCTGGTGACCTCTCATCAAAACCCTTTATTTTGTGGTGTAAATACACTCAACAAAATAATGCATTGGAAGACACAATTGTCTTATTACCTAATTGACATAAAGTAGCTTTTATGTTAAGGGGAAATCATTATAGATAAAGATTTCTCTTACTTCTCCCAACAAAGGTCACAACCCACCAGGTGTGTTGGGAACTGGGGACTCTTCTGCTTTTGGGATTTCTACAAACCTCAGTATGGTCAATTCTTCTTCATATTATATTTATGGTTTCTCTCTTGCACTGCTTTGTCAGTTTGGGAAGTGGACAAAATTGCTGGGATAGTGTCCTCTTTTTTAAAAAAAAAGTTGTTAAAGAAGGAAATTAACTTAGGCCATCTGTATGATGCACACTGATTTAAATAGTAATGCTTCAGTATAAAACAGTGAAATCTGAGGCTTAGGTAGCTTAAGGAGATTCTTTTCTTTAGTATCGTTCGTGCTTCAGTCAATTCACTCGTTCAGTTATACACAGTAGTAGCAGTAATTGTAATTAGGTCTGCTGAGAATTTCTTGACTTATTTTATATACTAGAGCCTAACCTTGTAAACTTTAGTGCCATAAAGATTCTTGTTTAGGGATCTCATTTTTTTCCAGACACTTGAAGAAGGCCTAGGGCAAGCATTAAAAGTTCACAGTACGGGGTTTTTTTAATAAGGAAAAATTACTAAAAAGAATTAAGATTTTCTGCAGCATTCTGATGCTTGTGAGAAGTTTTCCAAAAGGAAAAAGACACTAAAACTAACTTAATCTGTGGAATTTACTGTAAAATAGAAGAAAAGAGATAAAATTTAGAAGGAAAAAAAAAGAGTTGTAACTGTTGATAATAATTCAGGAGCAATCAGAAGAGACTGAGGACATAAAGCATCTCCAGATATTCCCTAGAGGATGCATGTTTATTAAATTTGTCCAGTTCAGACAATTACAATGCCTGCATACTTTCTGTAAGTGGTCCCATTAATTTTTTTTTAGTTTTTTGGTAAATGACTGAACTACAATTTCAGCTGTTTTTGAAATGTTGATGATGTGTCTTTGCTAACACCAAAGAAAACAAAATCCATTGCCTTCCCCTCATCCGCAGAGCCAGTCAGGCACTTGATAAGTGCCATGTGGCTGTGTCCAGTCACCTTCTTGTTCTTTACTTACCTGGACGTGGCTTCAAGAAGGAATTGTTCTGTGATCTTCCTGGAAACAGAGGTGAAGGCTGACTTGTGTGTGGTTCACCAAGCGTTCATTACTCCTTTGAAGACAAGCGTATTATTTACCTTTTCCAGGGCTTGGAGAGGTGTCCCTTGAGTCCCACAACTTTTGGCCTTGCATTGCCCTCAGGGAGCTACAAGTTGCCTATGAGACAGGGCTGGCAAAGGCTGAGATGAAGGTGGCCAGAAGATCTCAGCATCTTCATGTTACGTTCCGTGCTCCATTCAGCACCAGACCTACATTTTCCTTCATCTTCCTTTGTCTCTCCTTGTACCTATAAAAGGCTTTGTCACTGCGTTGTGCATCCCTTGCCAGTTTTATCTTCATCTGAGCCCTGATTTTTTTCATAACTTCCTTCCCTCTGCAGTATGTCTCCTGGTTAGTGTGGCGGTCCTCCCACGCTTAGAATCATAAAGTGGTTTGTGTTGGAAGGCACCTTTAACAGTCATCTAGTCCAACCCTCCTGCAGCGAGCAGGGACATCTTTAGCTAGATCAGGTTGCTCAGAGCTCTGTCCAACCTGGCCTTGAACATTTTCAGGGATGGGACCCCTACCACCACTCCGGGCAACGTGTGCCAGTGCTTCGCTCTGCCGTGCTTCTGTTGGGTGTCAGAGTTCCGTCGGGAACTGCCCCTGCCCCACCGTGTCAGACTCCTGCACGGCAGGCTGGATGGTTTTTGTGCTTTGGGAAGGTCAGCTGCAAACAATGACAGTGCTTTACATGTACATGGTGTTTTAATTGAAACTACAGTGTATATAGTTTGAGATAATTGGCCTTTGTGAGCACTTAAGAATTCAGCGTAGCCCTTCAGAAAATCTTTGGTTGTCTTCTTTTACCTTTGTACAACAGCTGTTACTTGTATTTCTCTTAGCCTAATTTGTAATTTTGCATATGATTCCAGTATGTAAAAGTGAGAATACTGACTAAATAGGTTGATCATAATGACGATTCTTACTTCTTTCATTTGCAAGTAGAGATAAGAATATCTTATGTTATAGAATCATGCAATTAAGCCAGTGGATATAAATGAATGTTTTTAAAGATTAATCTAAAAGAATT